AGATGTGTATAAGAGCTCTTCACTGACCTTCTATATGTATATTTCTTTTTTATTTTGTTTAAATTTGTTGGCTAACCTCTCCAGTAGGCAAAATAACATCAATGTAAAAAAAAAAATATATGTATAAGGAAAGTATTTACTTTATATTGATTCTAGTTCTAATTAATTAATTGATATTTCTTATCAGAAACCTTAGAATCTTCAGTATAGGAGTAAACAATGAACAAAACAAATATAAAGGCATACAACTAAAACTAAATATGTGTTTAAGGATAAGACGACAGAGAAACAAAACCATGAATGCAGATATGCTCTTACCATAATAAACTCGATCATTCTGTGGGGCATGGGTGTATATGTGTGTGTGTGTGTGTGTGTCTGGGGTGTGTCAGCATGTGTGTCTATGTATTTGTATAGGTATTTGTACATACTTATATCCATATAATTTGTTTATTTGAATGAGTAGCTACCCTTGTATTTTGCAAGGATAGGCTGCGAGCGTGCAAAAAAAAGAAAGAAAAAAAAAATACGAGTTGAGAAATTGCGAATACACAAAATCTATCAAATATATCTCTAAAAAAACAATTTACTGAACACTGTGTTTGTTTATGTTGTTGAAACACATATAGACACACACAGACACATATACATACATATATGCCCACAAAATAAGATATAATTTTGGGTAATTTTGATGTCTTTTTCTGCTGTCCTCATATTCTGGAATACAAGTTGTTACTACTGATGTCGACTGTGGACATTCATGATTTCCACAAGATGAAATAAATGTACAATGGAGTACTACATCGCTTATGTTACAATACCACATGACTCCCTTTCGTTACTAAGCAATGCTACCCGAGTAGTCGATAAGGCTGCGTGCCTCCTCAGCTAATACCTCATTCAGACTACACTCCATTGCAATTGATTGCGATGTGATCGGTGGTAATGCAATACTGATTACTCCCAATCGCAATCGAGTGCATTCAAAACAAATCCGACACATTTGACAAACGTTATATTAGAATTGGAGGTCAAACGGTGCTATGACTTCAGCTAATCAGTACCTGAAAAATTTGTTGTGATCGGACTCCGTGGTAATCGGGAATAATAAAGACTGTAGCACCCAATCGCAATGGGTAACAATTGCGATATCAATGACTTATCGACTACTATTGGTGGGCTTGCGATTGGGTGTTGCAATCACTTCAATCGATTGCAATGCGATGTTATTCTGAATAGGGTATAAGCTACAGTTTACATAGTTCCCTTATGGGGGGCAGTTGGTGTAGTTGTTTTTATTTGGTTTTTAATCGCAAGTTATTAGGTTCCAATAAATCAGTTGAAAAAAATATAACTGTGGCTAGCTCTCGATGTATTCAGCCACAACGACCGCTTGGTAGATTGTTGCTCAGTAACGAATGGTTGTGTGCAGTACCGTAGTGTAACGATGTAGTACTCTATATGAGAGCATGCACTACTAATCAATTACGAACACTGTATATTATTAATGTACTGGCATAAATTACGTTTAAATCATGTGATAATTTATCCAATTCTGATTGGATATGTAAAAAAAAAAAGATTATGGCAATGTGATTAAGCAATTATCTAATATGTATGCCAAGGAAATCATGTGATAAGTTTACTGATTCATAAATAGCATTTAAAGAATATGATCAAGAATATTTAAAATTATATATGTGTTTTATTATTGGGAATAATGGGTAGTGTATGTTTTTTTAATATAACAAAAAAAGTTATATATTCTCAACAAATACTTTGTAGCTAGAACTAATCTACTTTGGAAAATGAACATGATAAGCTAATATACAGCATGACCTGCGACCTCAGCTACAAACCTGTAAGTTATAGGTTCTTGATTTAATAAACTAAATGTATTAGTGATGATGAATGTATTAGTATTAATTATTATTTCACTTAGCTTATTAACACATAACATATAATTTAATGTATATAATATATTATACATTTACATAGAGATAATTAGCACACAAATATGATAATCAAAATGAATGTGAATCTATTACATTTAATATCATATTCATACATAAAATAATTTCTTTATAATTTTGCATAGTGGTAATTAAAAAATGTAGCACATTTATGATGTATTCAAAAGTTGTGTCAATATAATTTTAGTGTAAATGATATTTTCTATATTATATAATACAGAAATAAATTAAACTACAATTTTTATATTTAGTAATAATACACTATCAAATGTTAATTAAGTATCTATACTTAAATCATAAAAAAATAAAACATGTATGTAATTAAAAATTATTTACAAAGCTGAAGTTATGAAAACACAAACAACTAAAACATAAACCACTAATATGCGATACAGAAGCATACAGCTACATAGGTGCAGTTGTGTACTGTTACTGACATACAATCGTAAAAACACACGTCACACAAACACACGTCAAACAAACACACACACGTAATATTCATACCGGATGAGAAACAGTCGCAATAAAAATAATTTTGTATGTAATTGAATTTTTCAGACAAAACCATAGTAATTAAAATTAAAAATACTTTTACGAAAAGTGAACAACAAAAATTATTTATCATTGTTATAATGAAGAAAAACCGAAAAAACGTTTGGTAAGTCAAAGAGCATTTATTCACATGGGATTTCTTAGCATCGTGAGATTCAGTGAACAGAATTGAACAAACCAAAACATAACAAAAGAGTGCCAAAGACAACGGGAAAGTGCAGGTAAAGTACAAGAAAGCACAACCACCGCACCGCTCTCAATAATCATACGGTACTCACAATTTTGTCGTTTTTGGTTTGATATTTCTTGATTTCTTCTTGATGTTGCTGCCGTAGGTTATCAAAGTGTTTCTGTGATTCGTCTTTGTTGTGGTTAAGGTTGTCGGTTATTTCACTTATCTTCTGCTGCGATTCCTTTAGCTGAGCTGACAGCTCTTCTATTTGTCTAAATAAATTCACATCAAAATATAAATAAAATTTCTAAAAAACAACACATATCATTTGATCATTTGTATATAATAATTAGGAATAAAAGGATAGATTTGTGAATTGTAGTTAAAACTACTTGGTTTCCTAATCTTAGAACCTCCTGAAAGCAACGGGGACAAGCTAACGCAGAGGAAAGGAATTTGGTGGCAATGGGACATAAGGTAGATTAATTGATAATAATAGCAATTCTAGCCTACTGACCTGTCTTTTTCATTTATCTGTTGGTTCATGAGGATGATTTGACCAGAGCTATCACTGGCACACTCTTCCATCTTCTTTTTCTCAGCATCCTAGAAGGAATAGACAAAACTCACATAAAATCTTTTATCATCGTAATGCACATACCAAAACCAAAAAGAAGAAGGCAATCTCACAGTATATAGGAGAGGGTTTAAATGGGATTTTTTGGTTAAAAAAAATTAAGGAGATGAAGAAAGATGAGAAGAAGCAAATGATATTTGATGAAAGAGGTTTCATAGTCGGAATGAAAAAGGAATAAGATTTGGACTTATTGATCTCTACTTTGTGTGAGTGCACAGGTGACCCTTCCGGTGACTCCAGAGTTTGTAAAGTTTGTGTAGAAAGATTGTGTAAACCTCTTTTGATCTTGGAACTATATATTTTGAAAGTTATTGGGATAGTAGATATCAAGATAGAACAAAGAGATAGAAGAAGAAAGTATGTCCCAGAGCTTTAGCCTTAGAGGTTAAGAAAAGTACCATGGTACTGAAGTGCGGTCCAAATTGCTGTCTCACATATGAAGGCTAGAGGCCCACATGGTGGGGAAAGTAAATAATATGATTTCATATACTTACAAATTCAGTCTTTTCTTTTAAAAAATTCTTCTGCAATTCATCTGATGTCTTTAACTTTGCTTCTAAATCTGTTTAGTAGAATCATGAATTTAGGATTTGAATATATTTTCAGACAACACATCAAACTACATTACTTCACATATAAGTGTTGTGTCATTTGTTTCCAAGCTTTTTCATAGTTAAAATTATTGAATACTAACACCACCACCACTTCCATATGCTGTTCAAAGACAGTTTAAAAACAATTACATTCTTAAGCTGTGGGGTTCAAAAAACCACTTACTGTGCAAGTCGATCGTGTCCTTAGGCAAAATACCTTATCTACGTATGTCTCCCTCTCCCCGATACAAATGGGTAATGCATTAATGCTAGGAAGTGAAAACTTTTTGTGCGGCAGGAGCGGCAATGGAAATTTCAGAAAAAAATAAAAGCTTAACTTTATTTTTATTACGCCCGCCGTTGCCTTGAAATCTACAAAATAAGATATGTATATTTCTACCTAAGTATATAGATTTAAAGCATTTAACTATCCCATACTATACTGTTTACATTCAACAATAACATTTTATTTTTATTTTCTCCGCCGTCTGGATGTTTTTGGCAAAACCATAGATTAGAAAACAACATTTTATTTTATTTCCCACCCTCCTCTGACGATTAATAAAAAATTAGTAGCAAGACAAGGAATAAAAAAAAGTTCCACCTTAGCAGACCTTATAGTAGCATGCCCGCTTTTCATTGTTCTCGCTTATCTAAGCCAGCGATACACAGGTGATAACAGTGAATAATGATGTCATCGGTACCCACCTGCCTTTGCTTGTCTTAATTCTTCAACTTCACTAAGTGTGCCACAGTAGGCAGTTTCTTTCTCATTTAACTTCTTATTTAAATCTATAATAAACAAATATTTCCACAACAAAAATATAAAAAACAAAAACAGATTTTCAATAGTTAAAAAAAAAGAAGATATATTACTTGTATATTTCTCTTATATTCATTATGTTTTCATTTACTTAAAACCTAAAGAGATTAAAGATACAAGACAGTTTTATTGGTTTTAGCATATAACATAAAATACAAAAAAATATGATTCTATTAGCTTAGCATATAAAAAATATAAATTTGAAAACAGTAGACTCAAAACATGAGTAAGTGCACTATAATCAAGGCATGTATTATTGAAAGCAGGAAAGTGAAACTAAAAATAGATAACCATCCGAAAGTACAGCTGCCATGTCACTAGTATGATACAGGATCTTTGAAGGAAAAATAGTAATATATCCATCTACAAAATTATTTTCATTACAACATTTAACAAATCTTTTGTTTGTAGATTTGCACAAGATCCTTAAAAATTTTATAGACAATGAGTTGCAACAAACACTTTTATATAACCACTTCACCTAACAAAATCAGCACACAAAAATTATAAGATAGCAGCTTGGGGGTCCTAAAATTAAATCTTATGGAAAGTCATATATGAATTGAAATCTTAGAACCAGATGCCAGAATGCAATCCCACAATAAAAACATGGAATATGATAGTGGAATGAGGTTCTGGAATAAAATTCCAAATTGGGATCATCCTAGAATGAGATCCCGGATTATGCAAATGAAAAATGAATCATTTACCTTCTACTGTCAGTTCTAGTTTTTGTTTTTTAGCCACTTCCATTTGTAATTCCTGAGCCTGGAAACAAAAAACCCACAAATCAAATATTTTATTAAAATATTATTCAGGAAATATTTGAATATAACTTAAGACCTTAAATAGTATCGACTATCTGAAATTTTATTGAACAGCTTAACCCCTTAACTCAACATAATATATTTGAAAAAGTCTCAAATTAGCTTAAAAGTAGCTAACATTTCCAGTTTGTGTGTGCAACAGGGGGGCTAAGCTTGCTGAAATCTCACCAGGGCTTTGCTATGACCTCTAACTGAATCTCGCACTCCGTTGGCCTTCATCACAAACTGTTAAGACTCCTGTCAAATAGCTTTTCCCCCAAATGCATATATTTGACCAAGCATTAGTTCAAAGATCAAAGTTCAAAGCTTTCCAATCACAAGTGTATTTGATAGAGCTTTCTTTCACTAACACTTTTACTTTACCTTCTCTTGGACTTTCTTTTCCGTTTCGCTCTTCAGTTTCTCAAAGTTTGCCAATTCTTCTTCTAACTCAGATATTCTAACAATCTTTGCTTTCAGTTCTTCGTTGGCCTCGTTGCCATCGAGTTGAGCCGTGTCAATCAGTTGCTGCTTTGTTTCTAGTTCCTTGATTTTCTTTTGTTGTTCCTCAACCTGCTCCTGCAGAGATGCTCCCTCCATTTCTATTTCGGCCAACTTGAAATCTTTGTTTTCATTTTGATTCTGAGAGGAAAATACATTGATACATTTCAGTAACTGTTGACACTATAATTTGGCAATAAGGATAGCCTGTTTTATGGACTAAATAATTTGCATATAAATCAACAGCTATTAACATTTCAGGACTGCAAAAGTTAGAATACTAAGAATTTAAAGACTAAATTTACTTAAAAGAAAAATTCAAGGATGATGATGTTAGTGGCTGTTGTGGAGGTGGTGATGGTGGTGCATGGTGACGATGATGGTGGTAATGATGATGAAGATGACGTTGATAATGTTTTGACGATGTTGTGTTGGCTATGATGGAGATGATGACGAAGAAGTAAATAATAAAGATATGTTGTTGATAATGATGAGAAGGGAAAAAGAAGGGAAGGAGATGAAGATGACAGCGGCAATGATGATGACAACGGCAATGATGATGATGACAATGACTAACTTAAACAACTGGTGGACAAAATCAAAGTACTGTATATACAGTACACTGTCCACCAATCTAGAAGTTGTTTGTAAGTTTTACTCACTACAAGTTCATCAATCTCTTGCTGAAGCTTCCTATTGCGTTGATTCTCCTCTAATAATCTATCCTCTAGTTCTTTTAACCTCACAAGTTCTTCCTGGTTTTCCTCCTAAAAAATAAGAAAATGAGCAAATTGTTTGGTGGAAGAATCAGGTAATAACTTTTGAAGGTTTTGACAAAGGCTTTTTTTCTTCCAAAATGTTTAGAGGTTCTCTGCGATATCTTGAAATGGTGTATATGGATTTGTTTTCACCCAAACCTGGTTAAAACTTGTTTCTACTGAGGAGTTATTACTATTTGTGAAATCGCCTCTTTGAAAATGATACAAGACATTTATCAAATTATCAATATTAAATGTGTAAATATATAATGCCTTGTAAATGGATATTCTTTTGTATGTCCATTATACACTCCTTCTTGGTAATGTATTGTGTTGTATTATTCATCATAATATTTTAATTCTATACTTCAATTGTTGAAATATAAGCAAAAAACATCTATGAAAACATTTTTAACTTGTTTACATAATACATAATATATAAATGCTATAGATATTGTACCTCAGATGCCTCATATTACAATTTCTTATTCCTGCTGTGTAGAATGAGTACATGTAATGGCTTTTATGCACTTTTACCTCATTCTAACACTTCTATAGATTAGGCTGTCATGTCAATATAAAGTGGAAGGTTGTTGTTCTTCAAGATATCCTAAAACACATTGGCAAGCCATTTGTGGTACAATGAGGTAGTGTCTGCACAAACGAACCAATCACTTTCCCTGCCTACCCAGTACTTTTCATGACTTGAGTGTGTGCTGTTTGTTATCTAACCAACTGTATGAATACTGAAACCAACCTTGAGGTCTGAAGTGTCTATTGTAGCTTCCTCAATTCTAAACTGAAGATCATCCACTTTCCTGAAAATAACATCACAAATGCATAGACATTATAAGATACTAAAACTACATTTACATTCAATTTGATTTCTATATTTCACTTTTACAGTATTATACAGGAACATGAAGGGTTTTTCAGCAGAAAAGTCACATAACTGGTTGTAAACAATTGTGAGTGTAGGTCCCTGGTTCGATCAGCCTTTATTATCAGCCTGTGTATTATCAATGGTTATTAAAACATATAGACAAATAATATAGCTTATCACAAAACACAAATAATGTTCATTCTATTTGTGAATGCAAGTACTGTGAAGGCTAAAATTGTGATTTCATTTTTCTTGACCTTTTAGACATGTGGAGGGCCGAAATGAAAAGATATAAATAGCTTACATGACGTTGTGGATTTATTAAAGTTGAATCTTGAACTCGGATTCAAAAATGGAATACCTTATTTATTTGGATAAACACCTCGTGGAGTTTATTGCTGAGAAGGGTTTTTGAGGGGTGTTCATCTGAGGGAGAAGTTTATTCAAGGGAGGCATTTCATTTTTGGTATAACAAAATAGATACGTATATACTCGGATAAACGCCCCTTAATCTCACTGTAAATCTGATACTACAAAACATAATTACCGTGATCATGAAGACTTATTAATCACAACTAGGTTAGAAAAATGAAATTTACTGGAGTATAACATTAATAGAATGTTTTCAGAATGATGTTGCTTCCATTAGATTTGTTTACATTAGTCATTTAGGGGGGGAGGGGGAATTTATTCGAGGAAAAAAACATCTTGGGGTGTTTATTCTGTACAAGGCAAGCGCTTATTCCAAATGAGGCTCCAGAGGGGGGTGTTTATTCGAAGTGGGGCATTTATTTGAATAAATAGAGAGTAATATATTCTACCTTTTTTGTGCTTCTAACTCTTGCAAAAGTTCCACCTTTTCCTTGTCCGCGGTTTCCACAAGGTACTTAAGGGAGTCTATCTCCTCCATGCTTTCCCGAACGAACTGTCAAACACATCACAATAATTCATCACATGCTCACTTAATTTAAAACTAATTATTTTAGGATTGGAAGGAATTAGAGAATCTTTATGAGGATCAGTGATTAAGACAGGGATTATTATCTGTGTTAATGTCCCAAATTAGGTAGTGTTCATTATAATTAGTGTAGTTCATTAATTTCTAAAAACATCATATAATAAAATGAATAGATTTTTAATAAGAATTATTATAACAACCGTGAGGAGTATGTTTATTGGGGTTAATATACCAAAGTAAGTCACGTCTCTTGCAGATTTATTATTAAATAATAGAATAAACAAATAAAGTTTAAGAGAGATTATCATATTTGAGCAAATATGTTATGTATTAATTAATATTCAGTTAGGTGGATAACCCTGTTAATTAACCTTTAGTGTAATGTGCCTTGTTTAATATCAAAAACTAATTAAAAAAACAGAGAATATCTTTACCATAATAAATCAAATTATTTCAATCAATCAATCAATAATTCAATCAATCAATCGATCCATCTATTTATGGTGCCATTCTAACAATCATAACCTATTTATATTATTCATCCAAAAATTAGAATAACTTTTTTTAGTAAATATTTAATAAATATTATTTGGTAAACTTATTTTGAATAATAGTTGTTTGTTTACATATATTATATATGGTAATGTTTACATGTTTGCTATAATGTGTCAAGTAATGTTTACTGGTGTCTGTATTTATAAATCAACTACCATGCACAAACATTCTGTACTCTAAATTAATGTGATGCTTATGTACTATAGAAAAAGATTATAAAAATCGAACATATTCTGAAGGGTTGAGATATATTACTATTTGAACAACCATTCACAGCAGACCTAAAAATTACAAATATGGTGTAAATTTTCAGAATAGACAGTTAATACACTAGATATTTCTTTGAGGTATACCGAAATACATGCTTAGTTAAAAATATATCTAATAAAATGAAAATTTATATATATATATATTAGTATGGAGTAAAAACAAATTAAAGAATAACAGACATTCTATTCTTATACAAGGAGAAAAAAATGTTTGTCAAATAATGTTTGGGCAGATATACAAACCATTTAAAGCACTTTCCAAAATGCAATTAACAATCCATATAACATATATAACACAAGTTACACGTTCTAACACAAGATAACAAATATGTATACAAACCACATTCAAGTATTTTACTTATAGAAAATTAAGAAAAAAAACATATGCTTAAGAAATGTAACATAAAGAACATAAATACAATCATCAATGTATTTCTATAAATGTAACAGTTTTTGAAAACAAAAATGAAATAAAAATGTTGATAATTATGTCGTTGATAAATTGTATAATAATATTAAACAGTGTGTAGATCTGTGCCAGTGTAGTAGATACCTTCTCATGCTGGGTTCGTAAAGCAGCTAGTTCCAACTCCACCTGTTAAGGTTAAGATAGCACACAACGTCCAATCAAAAGTTACGAGACAAACAAATGCACCAATCAAAACACACAAGAATAATGTTCACCATGCTTCTATTGTAAGAAATGCACTGTAACACTACAAACAATAGGCCAAATATATAATGATGGGATATTCTATATATAATACCTATTATATATATTTTTTAATGTAACCAAATAATAATATTTTTTTATTTATTGATAACTTATGATTTTGTTTCTCAACAACAACAAAAATAATTTTGAATAATTTTTCTTAAAAATTTTTTTGTTCTATTTTTTACTAGAATTTAAAGAATTTCATCAATATTAATATTTTAATTCAAATAATAAATATTTAATATTGATATTGGGGCGACATACATATCTGGCCTGATGAAACATTCAAGAAAAAATATAGTGAATGTAAATACATGAGACAGTGATTGTAATAGTATAGCATTTAGACCTACCCGGTAATGCTGAAATCGCAACCAAATGCAAAACCGTACCACATTGTCAAGGACAGTAAAGATGATAAAGATCCATCGATAAGAATTTATAATAAAATTTATAAAGTATTTGTATGTCATTTCAATTTTTAAGAATCCAGAATTTAAGAATTCCAATAGGAAGAAAGAATTCATCATTTGAGGTGCAGATAATGTTGAGTAAGTTTGCACCTTACCTCAACAAATGCAGCCATGGGGATATGTTTTGCATAAAACTGACAAGATGGTGATTTTGTTTCAATTCAATAATTTTATTATATTATACACAGCATTGATCAAATATATAATTATTATAATAAATAATATAATTTTATGTAACTTTTATTACAATTCAGTTATGTTAATTGTGAAGCATCAATATGAATCAATAATATTAGTATAGGTATTAAATAGATTATGTATGAATGTTAATAATAAGAAAAAATAGGTTAAATTTTGTTCCAGCAAGTACTGAACAATGCATTACAAGTGCAGTACGTATTGCTTTGGATTTTTTACTTTATTCTTGATTGCAATTTTCATCATTATTGTATTTCTAGTGTCATCAACACCATCATAACAATCCCCTTTGTAAACACCATCAACTTAAGCCAATAGTATATTATTTATTTCTAATCAATTTTCTTCTTTCACTATAATTGCTAAGCAACATCATCACGAATATTATTTATTTCTTGATCTTTATTATCATGGTATCGTTATCCTGTTCAGTATCACCATCTTCCTCTTCATTATCTTTGTTTTAATCCTTTTTATTATCATCATCAGCTTCATTCTAATCATCATCTGCCTTTCATCAGAAATCATCATTATCATCATCAATATCATCATCATAATCATCTCTTAACTATCATCATCATTACCACCATTTTTTGTCTTTGTTACTCCTTATCATTATCATCATCTTCATTATCGTCATCCTCATCATCATCTTCATTATCATAATCGACATCGACATCCTCATCATGTTGCAGTATACCACATAGATAATTCTGAAAAGAACTGTTGTTGGATGAGAATGTCTCGACGTTTCGATTGAGTTGCTTCAATCATCTTCAGGAGAATAATATATGATTATTATATATTATTCTCCTGAAGATGATCAAACTCCATCGAAACATCGAGACATTCTCAACCACCACCAGTTCTTTTAAGAACTATCTATGTGGTGTACCTCAAGCATTAATATATATTATTACTTCACCATGCAAACCTTCAAACAATATCCTCATCTTCATTATCATTATCAACACCATCATTATCACCTTCTACACTAACATGGCTAACAAAATTGTTTTCGTTATCATCAACATTATCATAACTATGATGACAGCATCATGAACATCAACACTGTCATATTACTCATCATTATCAGCATCACAAACATCACTACTATCATTATCATCATCATGTATACTGGAAATACCCATAATCAAATATATATTAATCTACAATCATTCAGCAAATTCCTTCGAAAGTCAGTAATTAAATATACAGTAATAATTATTCAGATGCAGCAAAATCATAATAATAAAAACTATTTCCATACAATGCCAAGCACTTTTTTTCATACAAAGAATATTAAGAACAATTTTTTTTTAAACCAAGCAACCAAAATGCTCAATCAAATAACCAAGAAAGCAGCATAACAAAATTTTAAATAACCACACCATGAAACAAAATCGCTCATGCGTATATCCTTGATTAGTGCACTAATCAATCATAAAAATTATTGTATACAGTTTGGATCAAAATAAATGATTAGGTGTTGAAATAATTGCAAAATGTTTGCAGTAAAAAAAATGAGAATTAATGCACCCATGCCGTGAAGAAAAGATTGTGAATACACCACCATCGTTCCAGGGAGGCAAAAAAAGCAAAATGACAGTTTAAGACGTTATACGTAGGTTTTTTCTGCCTGCTTCATGTATCTGGGATGTTGGAGGATGGGGAGGAAGGTAGGAGCAACGGTGGCATATCTAGGGGTACACAGGTGGATACCCCCAAAAATATTCCCCTATTGAAAATATTCAAAGCAAAAACAAAAAAGCTCAAGTAGTTAATAAACACTTCAAATCACCTTAATTTGCAAGATAGCACCCCTTACCTAATCATTGAGCCTGTCCCACTTAAACTTTGTACCCCTACATCAGGCTCCACCCCCACCCTCCAACAACATTTCAGGACTCCTAGATATGCCACTGAGGATTTATTATTTGGGAGGAAAATCATGTTTAAATTATGAAATTTATTGTAGCAGCATCTGGTTATGTTAAGGTCAGTAGGATTATGGCTGAAATATTATTATCGTTCATATGTGTTTGACAGTTTAGGTTGTTCACGAAGATTATGTTATTAATTATAAAAATGAAAAGTAATTATGTATGTTAGCATTTGGAATATAATTGTGTTTGGAACGTTATTGAACCCATGGCCTAATAATCTAAGGCGATGCCTCACCTCTCAACCATCCAACTTGTAATCTAGTCTAGAAGCAAGATCTTATTATGTTGATGTTGTTGCTTATGTTCATCTCATGTGATAAATAATATTTTAACTATGTTAGTGCAATCTAGTTCTACGATTAAGTTCAATTAATAAATTCGAACTTTCAAAAGAAAATTTTTCTTTCTATAAAACTTACACTTGTTCTTTAAATTTTCTTGAATACTGGTATATGTTTTTACATAATTATTGTTGGTTAACCAAAGCATTATAAAATACAAACTATATACTCATTGCCTATACATATTATGTTTCCATATAGGCCTTAAAGACTGATTTTTGTATTTGTTTATTATTTAATAACTATTTAATTTTCTCTTCCTCTACTTTCTAGAATTATTAATTGAATTAATTATAATTCATAATCCTTATGATTCTGAGTCACTGATTATAATTAATCTTTTTAAGAATTCTTAATTATTTATATATGTATATTCATTGATTCATAATAAAATTTTAAAAATTTGGGTCAAATTATAAACTATTCAACAATATGTTTGGAATTTGCACATTATAAGTTGTAGATTATTATTATATAAAACCATATTAATACACCAATATGCATATTAAAAATTTTCCATCAAAAAATGTTAAATTTCTATATTATATTAGTTTCACTTAACACTTCAGCACCATCAAGTAATCACTCTATAATTTCGCTATTAAATACCTATGTTAGGATCCACTGGCATTATCCACTAAGAATAAGTCAAATCATATCCTGTACACATATTATAATTATCTACATATCAAGCTAGCAGATGCATGTATGTACTAAAATATGCATGTTGTATATAAGAATGTATGGTTGTGAATATGCATGCATGCCTGTACTATATCAGAATGTATAGCAGAACTACTGTATAAGCATTTGTATGGTAGTTTGAATGATGCATGTTTGTATATATGGCTGTATGGAGACATTAATCTTTATATATATATATATAAAATGTATGAGAACTTCATGTGTTCCCAAGTATGCATATATGGACACATTCATGAACTTCCATGTATGCATGTAGAGAGGCATTCTTTTATCTTCATGTATAATATAGATGGAGGTACTCATGTATTTCCATGTATATATGAAGAAATTCATATATCTACAGTAAATGTATGGACACATTTATGTATTTTCATATATGCATAGATGAAGGCATTCATTGGAAGCATCCATGTATCCCCATGTATGGAGACATTCATATGTGTGTGGAGACATTTATGTACCTCCATGTGTGTACGCATTCATATATCTCAGATGAAGGTATTTATGAATGTCCATGTACGGATGCATTCATGTATCTTCATGTAAAGATGCATTCATGTATCTCAATGTATGGATGCATTCATTATCTCCATGTATGGATGCATTCATGTATCGCCATGTATGGATGCATTCATATATCTCCATGTAAAATTAAAATGCATTCATTTATCTGCATGAATGGATGCATTCACGTACCTCCATGTATGGATACATTCATATATCCCCATGTATGGATAGATTCATGTATCTCCATGTGTGTAAGAATTCATGTATCTCATTAGAAGCATTCATGTACTGTATCATATTAAAGGCATTCATGTATCTCCATGTATGGATGCATTCATGTATCTCCATGTATGGATTCATTCATGTATCTATATGTATGCATAAAATGTCTTACAGTGGTTCTATGCTAGTATGTGTTTATATGATGATAAACATTTACATGAATATTCAGATGGTGAATATTCATACCTGATCGTCGAGCATTGGACTAGAACTGGTGGTGGTGGTTGATGAAGAAGTTACAACGGCAATGGGCTCAGGAAAAGCATTGGCTGATGCGCCAGATTCTGAATCTAAGTCGTCCTGATAAAGAACACAATAAACCACATGTGCACATTGAAATTAAAACAGAAAATAGAAGGAAAACAATAATCTTGGAATGAAGAAAACATAAAATAATATTACAACACCAAAGAACTTTTGTATGAGTAATCTTGAGTACTCAATGTCTAAAATAAAAAAAAGGCTTGAAATAAAAAAAATATTTAAATCTATGAAATAAAAACACCAAGAAAAAGCTGAACTGGTTTTAAATAAACTTGAGTGAATGAGTCTATCAATAAATCAGAGAAAGGACAAATTCTTGTTTATGCTTTAAGGGAGAAGAAAGATTGTGTTAGAAATGAAGCAGTATGAAATAAATTTTTTTTTGTGAACAATATTAAAAACAAAAATGATACAAAGAGCTTGGTTAATTCCTTCAAAATAAGTATGATAAGCCATGCATCAGTGAAAAAAAACAACAAATCTGTGGAAATCTCTCACCTGCGAACCAAGTTTACGCGGGGTTTCCACAACTCGTGGGGAGCTGGGATCTGTTACTGAGGATCTCGCAAGGCTACGAGATAAGCTTGACGTTGAACCGATTGAGCTGATGGAGCTGTTACTATTGCTGCGTTTGTCCCGCATCATAACACCGTCATTGGTTTTGGCACCCGTTCCGCGCACCTTTGTGACCTTGTGGACAGGTGCGAATAAACCATGTTTTGGTTTGCACTGAAAATATCTGAAGTGAGAGAAAAACCATCAATATAAAATACACGATGAAGTTCTGGTAAAGCCATTAAAATAACCATTCAAATAACAGGTTTCCTAAAGATGACAGTAAATTTTATGTGTAATTAATCCAATAATTGCTGCACCACCTTTTAATGGTTACCGATGTAAAATAGACTTTACATTTAGGTGATGGTGTTGAGTATTTTGAGCCTCAATTTGTGGAAACCAAACAGAGAGCAAACATTTCATTAACATAGTTTATAAACCGAGCTTATAACATTTTAAAAATGTAGAAAATTTATCTCATAATAGAAATAATATGTTTACATATAATGGACCAGCAACTAGTAAAGGAGATTCATTATCAATAGATCCATCAGTTGATTGATTGATTGATCCATGCATCAATTAATCAAACATCAAATTTTCAGAGCTTACACACAGATTAAAGTTTAAAAACAGGAAATTGAATGCGACCTCACAATATTGTATTATCTATACCAGAATTCATCAAATGTCAATCATTATCAATCAATCAATCCATCAATCAGTTAATCTATCAATCTGTCAATCTATTAATCAATCCATCAATCAATTAATCAATCATCTTTACCTTGTTCCTGCGACAGCACCATTATTTTTACCCTGCTCGTCATCTAACTCCACACCTGCCCAGTCGCCTTTTGCAAATTCTGTTGTCCCTATGTACCGCAATGTACCAAGCTTTGTACCGCTTACAAGAACACGATCTCCAACCTTGAAGCAATTTAATACGACATTAGATTTTAACGTGCTGTATGATGCACAAAGAATGGAACGGAAATGCTCATAGCTTTGAGCCATTTAGGCAAATATTGTGATTGCCAGTAATAAAGAGACTTGTTGAAAGATAAATGCTTTGTATGCAGTGGATTTGTAATTAATAATATGTGTTTATTCACTAACTAAATACTGTATATTAATATTTAACATATGGGTAAATTTGCTGTTACATGCAACCATGAATAAGCTTTTTTCTAAATCATAAGAAATTTTGGAATGGATCCAAGCATTTGCAAGCGGGGTTCCAGCCAGTGCAGATAATTAATACGAAAAGCTTTACTTATGGTGTGGAGAAACATGGGGCAAGTATATATATATTTTTTTTCTTTTCCTTGAATCTTGAATTTATAGGTTTAAACATTTTCTTTTACTTTAAAAGCCTGCTTTCCGATAGCATATAAATGGTAGTAGCAGAGAGTAAATAGTATTCTGATGGTTATATTTTCTGAGCGCTCTCCCATTTTCGAATTTGACTTAGAAACTTGATGATACTATTCTTTATAATGTCACAAATGTCCTCTGGCAAGGTATGAAAACAACTGCTGGCTAGGTTACTAGTGTATGTACAATTTTAAATTAATTTTATTATTTGCCGAGTTTGCTCTAAACAAGGGTACTTCAAAAAATGTGGTGGTCCAGGCTTCACCAAAATCTTCCCTTCACTTCAGAGGTTCTTCCTCAGATGTTTTAGAACAGCAACAACACCATAAAAAATGTTAAAATGGTAATTAAATGAAAATCAATATAAATGATTTTGAATGATTTATGAATAATAAAAAAAAATTAATCATTTTTATTAAAGCAAATTACCTTAAGTCCCATATGTTCTGGTTGTGTTTCCTTTGTTGGCGTGCTCATTGCCGCAGCCTGAGCAGCTGTCGTAGGTAACTTACTAAGAGACCTGCTTGAGGAGGCTCGTGTCCCCATACGTGGTGTGTTAGGTATCACGTTGGGCCTAGCTTTAGCTTTGCCCTTTTCTCGTACAAGTTTTTCAGGTTTAACAAACACGCCCTTTTTAGGCTCGCACTGAAAGTACCGCACACCGTTAACAGAGCCATCATTCTTTCCCACGGCCTCATCCAATACACAACCAGCCCACTGGCCTGAGGCAAACCTGGTCTCACCCAAAAACTGTATATATCCATGCTTATCCCCACCAACGATCACCCTCTCGCCGATGATGAAGCTGTCCCTAGATGTAGTACTATCACCGCTTTCAGAATTTGTTCGTTGTACTAATTTATCCGCGTACCTGGACGCATCATTTGATCTCATCCCAGCTGCCCTTGCTGACTGTGCAACTGCATCTAATAAAAATTGTTCAAGAAAATATTAAGACCAAGTAAAAGTAAGAATAAATTTAAATACACATTAAAGTTTTACCAGTTGTATAATGGCTAATAAATTATGTAAATTTTTAAGAAATTCATGTAAAGATTTCTGGAATTATTTATATTTATAATTTTTAAAATATTTAATACCAATCAAGGTTATAAATATTATTGTCGGTGACTTACTGTAATAATTTTCAATTATTGTTACATAATAAATAGAGATAGGGTTTGAAAAAAATAATATGGCTTTACTTTTATAGGCATAATGAGTTACCATCATCATTCTTTCATCATCCTTATTGTCATCATCATTTAAATCATCATCATCACACTTTAACGTATTTCTTATATTTTAATATGTATGTTTTGAGCCTTTTTATCTAACCTATTCTCAGACAATAATTTCATATTGCTTTTATATGATGAATAAAATGAATCCGATTCTGAATCATTATTATAATCATTATTTGTTGGCAGTACCAGCAGACCATAAGAGGGCAGTGCATAGTCATTAACATATCTTGTAACAAATAAATACATAATTAGATTAGCGCATAAATTAATAAATAACTGAACCGCTATGAGGAAGTAAGTTGATACCTATAATCAATATCAAGTCATTGCACTATACAGAGGTTTCTCTGTACATCAATGTTTCACTCGCCTAGCTGAGATAGAAATCACTTTATGCACACCAACACATTGCACCTAATACCTCCTTGATTGCACATATAATGTACTGAAGATTGTTTACTGAAATCATTTCTATCATTGCATTCATCGTACGATAGAAATCATTCAGTCATTCCACTCGGCATACTGAGATAGAAATCAAGTATGGTACACAGTCATTGCTCTCAGCGTACCAAAAGATGCTAAATCATTTCAGCACGAACATTGGAAGGATACCACATGTTTTAGATGTACTCAATGCAAGGATCACAGTGAAGACAACTACATGCAAATGATGTGGTACAATTAAAAACTCAACATCAATAAGATATCTAAATGTCAATATCATGCTAACACCTATATAGATACTATTGGTTTTATTGATAGATATACAGTTTATGCTATTGTGAAATTTAAATATGACAATTAACATTTCATTTATAGTCCAGAATATTTATTATCTGAAAAGGAATTCAAAGTTTTGTTTTTTTTTAAATTGGAAAAATGTTTTCACATAGAAAATGAAAGGAAAATAATCTGATAATTTTATTAATGACATGAATACATCTGTTGAGCATGATCATATACATGGCAATATAGTTTCTTCATATTCTATTCACTTATTCTTAATCTGATGCTTTAAATTGGGTTTATATATTTAAGTTCACTTCACGATATTTTTATTTAGAGGTGAAATACAAAATCTATTTATATGTTTACTTTATTTATCATATTTTAATTTTTTTATGTGAAATTATACGGCTTATTATAGTTAATTAATACATTAGCAATTTTTCATGTATAGAAAATAAACATTCGAAATGAGATTTTGACTTTACCCAGGGAGTGGTTAATTCCCAATTTTTCACATTAATCATTTTTCTACTATCTTTGTCCACAAGTGTATACTGTGCATACATATTAACTACTCGGGGATTTTTTCTGTAACATTAAGACAATGAAATGAGTAATAAGACTTTAAGTGCATTTCAGATTAACGTCAGTGACTCATATTTAATGAGAAAATATTTTAAATGCTGTTGCCACCTGTTATAAAAATAAATGCACTAATTGTACTCTATAGTAAAAACAATTCATAGTTTTTAAGAGGTTTTATATTGAAATCATTAAAAATAGTTATTTACTGTCATAAATTATTTTATTTACTTTTTGCTCATACTAATCATTTAAAGTGAGACGCTACTCACAATAAACATGGTGACTATACTGCAAACTATGTAATTTATTTTACTATTGATTTCAATTAATAATATATTTGAGAATTATAATATAGGTCAAATATTAACAGATCAATCCATTTTAACTTGAACCATGTATCAGATTATTCTTATTCTCATGGCAAAATGTTCTTTAATTTTGCTCCCATATGAGATGTCAAAGTAATGTGAGATGATACTGTATGTTATTCATACGAAAATGAAATTGTCAAAAAGTAGAATAGCCAGGGGTAAAATAACAGTATCAGTCAACACACAGAGCAATGATTTCACATCTAGATTAAACACCAAGACATCTCTACCAAAAAAAAAAAAAAAAAAAAAAAAAAAACACCAGCAAATTGGATGCAACACTGAAAAGTATGTTAATGTACAGGAAACATCAGAGAAAGGGTCATTATATTAGATACGAAGGCTTGGATGAAAGGGGTGTTTAGCCTAATAATATAGAAACATGGTCAACCATTATAACCTAACAATTGTTGTTTTAATTTTGTTTTAATACTTTTTTAAGTTGTTATTAGTTGAAAAGAATTTATTATAATATACTTTGAAATAATGTAAGAAAGGAATAAAAGTGCTCATAAATTTATGAAGAGAGGATTTTTTTTTAACCTAAGTAGAAAGCAAAAGTAGATGCCATTACGAAAATGCTCTTGAAGCAAACGTAGGGTTGCCCATGAAGCAAAAGTAGATGAGGGGCTCATGAAGCAAAGGAAGATGCTCATAAACCAAAATGTGTACTCCTGAAGTAAAGTGGGATGGTGGGATGAGGGAAAATGACAGTCATCAAAAGGAGATAATCATGACGCAAAACAAGATGCTCATGATGTGAAAAAATAGGATGCTTGGAAAGCAAAGAAGGAATGCTCACGAAGCAAAAGTAGGAAGTTCATAAACAACACAGAGATGCTCATAAAGCAAATGTTGAGGTACAATAGTTACTCAAGTATGTTCTATACCAAAACAGTCTTAATAGCACTGTCATGCTGTAGAGAATGCATGACTTTAATACATAAATATATTTGTTTTCTAATATAATATTATGTTATTAAATAAACAAACTTCTGAATAAAATCAAATGCATTCTGGTTAAATATTCATATTTACAATGCAAACTCCATACATTTTAAATAAACATATATCATATGTACACTATGAACCATGGAGCTAGAATAAGACATTTCATAAGTAACAAGTAAAAAAATAACAGGCTATTTATTTGGCTTTATGACATTCACCAATACATTTATGTTAATATTTTACCATTTTAATGAAGTTAATTAGTAATTTATTTGTCGACCTAAACATATAATTACATTGCTAATGTACAGCTTTATTTGTTAAACCGATATACAGTAACAGACGAGGGATTTGCTTTTAAATATGGAAGAATAACCAGAAATTCTGTAAAAGACTACTAGAATATTCTAAAGCTAATGTATAGGTGGTGACTAAGCAACCATATCACAGGAATTTATTAAGAGCTTATTTGGTGTCAAAGGCTTTGTATTTAGTTTTAAAAGACTGGAATTTTATCACCATATACTGTATTTTGCTTTAGTTTCTGGGAATACATTAATATCGCTTTAAAGATCATTTTCAAGAAAAAAAAAGAATTTTCTATGATTCTTAACAATGCATTTATTTCATAGAGATCTTTGACAACCTGTACTGCCATTTAAATTATTATTAAATGTAATGTTAAAGTAATTTTACAGTGTTTCTTTTTATCTTGATATTTATATTGCTAGTCATTAATGTAGGCTAAATTTTTTTTATATCTGCTTAATTCAACTAATTAGTACTTTGAGTTTTTCCTATATACTAGACAGTATACTGGGTTTTTTTGGGTTTTTTTTTATATATTGCCAATAAAAACATATTTTAAAAATATTTTAATGTATCTTTCCATTGAATCCTTCACAGGACCCCTTTTTGACTGGACCCACCCCACCACTGGGAAAGAAGCAGTACCTGCACCAATGGGGGCGGGGGTTGGGATACAATTTACCCTGTCAGAAAGGCCTGGACCCCATCATCCGATCAGCCATGATGGTCGTCGGGACTAAAAATATTATTTTGCCTATCCAAGTACTTCGTTATTTTGATTGCGAATCCCTCATACTCTAGAAGCACAGTTTTGGGCCATAATTCTAGGCAAAAAGCTGGATACCAGAGATTTTTATTCTGGGACCTTGCAGAGGCCCTAGTTGTAAAATTATTTCCTTTAAATATCCAACTTGATTAATCTCTATATTATAGCTCCATGATTAAACTGTGTAAAAAAATAAAATTCAGCATTATTTTTCATGCAGATATATGGATACTAAGGAATACAATTCTTATGGTTTGTACATTGTAAGATTAAGATTATGTACACAAGTTTATCCAGGCCTACCTTTGATGCGAGTCGCATGAAAAATACCTGGTAAAGGTTTAACGAAGTGAAAGTATTATAGCAATAATAAAAGTCAAGCATTTAAGATGAGAACAATATGCAAAATCAGTATTATAATTGCAACACTTGTTGATGTACAGTATTATCAATGCATACTATATATGGCCACTGAGTATGTATGCTACACACTGAAACAGCCAATCAAGAATCCCAAGTTCAGAAATTTACATTTTTAGAAGGCAGATAAAGTTCATATTTCATTGCCAGTACTCATAAAAAGGAACTTAAAAAAATGCACATTCTTGTGTTTATAGGAATCTGAGTTCTTATTTTTAAGATTACTAAAATTATCCTTTTAATAATTTGAGAGAAAAACTATCATGGTAAAGTGAGAATTCCAGAGAATCGCTATTTCCAAAAACACGAGTGCAATAACATTCTATGGTAATCCACTTATATTCTGCAAATAATTGAATATCAATAAACTATTCCAGTACCCATGGTGTGACATTTAATTCATTAACAATCTCATTTTGAGCATTTAAAACCATGTTACAAATAGAGGCAGGAATATGAGATAGTGTAATATATAATCTGTTAATACAGTTAAAGTCCATTATCTCATCATCTTCCGGTACTGTGCATATCCTCTAGTACTGTATACTCCCACAATGCTAAATGGTATGCATCACTGCTGCTAGCAAATGTGTCATGTCTCTCTCATATCTTTGACATAATAAATACAAAACAAAATAATAACAATGGTAATAATGCATACCCATGAAACAAGTTTACATCACAAGGCTACAAACTGAGGAAAAAACCCTTTTGATAAAGTATCCATTAATATTTATTAGATTTTTTTTATAGAATTAGAACATTTCAGTTTCCGAAGAGTAAAACCCCTTCTTTGGCACACCCCTCCTTGGGGACACTCATTGTAAACAGGCGCATTTTTTAATCGCAAATCAATTTTGTTTTGTACAATGTATTTCCTTTTTAATTTATTTAATCTTGTTTTTATTAATGGTTTCAATCTTAAAATTATAGTTCAATCCAGCTTTTGCTAATGTTTAAATATCTAAAATGAGTACTAAATTAAACATTCACAGTTACCAGGAAGATGGAAATGTAATGTATTAATCCCAGGTGAATTCTATTCCGTAAGGATTCCCAATTCAAATGCCACCTTATTACTTTTTTAACGTTCAATAAATGTTACATCCTAATAAGGAAATGCCGGGCAGCTTAGTGGTTTAATGACCTAAGTTCAAGAGGTCAAGGTAAAAGGTTATTGTATATGCCGCAACTTCCTATAGCTTTGAAGAAAAAAACACACTGAATAGAAACCACATCTCATAGTGAATATAAATTATGAAACGGAAAATAAAATATTAATAACACAACAGCCAAATAAGCATAATGTATTTTATAATGACTCCTGCAGATGTAATTACCATACAAGATATAATGTCATATTTGTCATGCTTAAAGCGATGTAGTCTCTGTTATAATGTGCAATATTTGTGATGTAGTCAAAAAGTGTGTACTGTACACCTGTCTGCTAATAATAAGGTCAGGGGTCACAGTCTGCATAAGCTTATAATGGACTATTTGACATTTGTAATGACTATCATTCTGTCACTATAATATATCATCAATATTATGCAAAAAGTTAGTACTATATCATACCACATTTACATTAGTGCATCTGAATCTGATTTAATTGTTGACATAATTAATTTTTAAATTCTAATTAACAATAATATTTATGAAAATATTATACCATAATAAAGAATATACTTGAAAATTGAAGAGACCAATATAATTACAGTATAAGTATAACATAATAATTAATACATCAAACTATAAATAAATAATTAGATACAGATTCAAATAATAAAAATAATTATGAAAGTGATAACAATTAATAACAATAAGTAATGATAAAAATTAGGATATGATGTTAATGACAACATTTAAAAAACAAACAAAAACAATAACAAATATTAAGACTTGTTAATACATCATACTACTACATAATTTAAAATTAATATAACAGATATAGATACAAATAACAAACATTACTATAAAAATGATATAATAATAACTAATGATAAAATTAAGGATAAATGTTAACAAAATTTAAGCAACAACAATTGTAAAACCAAAAACAAACACTTGTTAAAATATATTTTATGTTTTTATTAAAACAGCCGAGTTTTCCACTACATCAAGCATGTTATGACAAGCTAAATTATGCATTGCAAAACGGAAAGAGATTCGAAATTTTCATACACTCACTAGGATCCAAAAATTTACTTGCTGTAAATAATTAATACAATTAATTCTGCTAATCGCATCAACAGTTTAAAATACAAATGTGCGCCTTAGTGATACGATGTTCTTTGTAAGTCAAAATCGCAATAATAGGCCAATTGCACATGGATGAACAACTTGACGTCAAGGCTATATATGTAATATACACACTAAAAATCATAGATTTTGAAACTGAAACTGGTAGTATTGTAGTACTATGCAATATTTGTCTTTGCATTATAATATCATCACTATATTTTATAATAGCTTAAGCTTAGCTCCAAAGTTTGCTTGGTTACTACTTGCCTTCCAAGCTGCAGTTTTAGTCTAAAATCATACAAAACATTTGAATTTTCAAAACAATAATACAAATTCAAGGATTTTGGGATTATTAAAGAGTAAGTGGGTATGGCTACATTTTAAAAAAAATCTTTTTTTAGCATGGATATTTGTAAAATCCCTATATCTCCTTGCATTTCCGCTCTCCTCTCACATAATGCACATACTGTACCATTGTAGGGTTGTAGCTAATGAAAACTAAGGGTGGGGATAGACATTTTGATGGTGGGTGTGTGATAACATTGGTAAACTCTAGATAATACAAGTGCATTTTAAGGATGGAAAAGTGGGTTAATAAAGGTGCGTGGAAGGCCATGAAAATTAGCTTTAGACTGGGTGGAAAACTTCAAGGCTGGGTGGCCCCGCCCACCTCCGCCGACTATAACTACTGTACATCGCTGCATTGGAGTTCCCCCAAACCAAGGGTCCCACTTTGGAAGAATCCATATCTAGGAGTTTTCTTAACACATCTACACATATTACTGTGCATGGTAATAACTGATGGCACTGACTAATACAAATGATAATACAGTAATTAATAATTATAACAATATGCAAATATCATGAATTTACGAGAGATGGTTTATTTTCTGGAAGATTCTTCGCGGGAGCACAGAAGGCCTTCCCGCCAGAAGACCCCATCCCGGGACTCTGCAGGAGACTTGGGAACCCTGGGCATTAAATGTGGTCTTTAGATTTCTCTATATTTAGAGTGAAATTAAGATACAGTAAATGTTTTAAAATGGATGTACATGCGCTTACTTATTCTCAGGCTGCTTATTCATAATAAAACATTTCATGGCAGCCAGACATGAAGTTTTGTAATCATTTTACTCAACTCCATTAAAATATTACAGCAATAACTAAAGTCACCACTAACATTATGGTCTCCTGACATCCATTCCCAAGTTGACTGTATTTTTTTTTTAAACTGCTCTTTTTAATTATTTTATTGATCTTGTGAATGTTTTAATATTTATCTTTTTCTTATTATATTTTATATGTTATTTTATAAATTTTAATACCATATTGTTGTTGGCCAGGGTTTAGAGATGACCACTTGTGTTGGGCTTTAGCCCATGCCATCTCTAGTCACGCCCCTGGCCAATATATACTTATATTTATAGTGACAAATTTTTAATAAATAAATAATAAATATTCCAATGGTGGGATGGATTTATTCGGATTAAACACCAACAATAACCCACAAAAGTCTGGAGAAGGCTTATTTAGAGTGGGGTCCTTCTGGTGGTGATTGGGTAGTATACCTGGAAAATGCATGTGGGCCATAAATGCACATGGGATCAACGTATTAAACATCTCATATGAAAGACACTGCACTCTCATAACTTGTGCACTTTCATAACTTGCATTTCAGCACTCCAGCTGAAATAAAAGGACAGCAGCGATGGGAATTGAAATAGGGACCAAGAGATCGCTACCGGTTCAGTTTAGTTGACTTTACTGTAAAGATGTTCTCTAAAAATCCTCATAATTTTAATAGTTCTTTATTGTAATTGGAACCGTGATATAAAAAGTATAGCTTAACAAACCTTCCAGGCTTCCGTTGCTATCCAAGCAGCTTCTAACAAATTCTACAATAAATTAGCTGGCAACTTCTTTTGTGTAATCAAATGAGAAAGTTGCTGAAGGCAGTAACGAAAAGCATGGAAACATACTAATAGTACGCAATATTAATTTCAAAGTTACACATATTTAAATTATTTGCATAAAATTAGAATAATTGGTAAAATATTTCAGGCTCACAAAATGTGACAACTCCGTAAAAAGGCTAACCAAAAAATACATGATAAAAATATGTTTAAATGGATAATAAAAAGAAACAATTGTAAACAACCAAATAAGGAATATGAAGAGATTTGTTTCATCGAGGTAATGAATTCCCTAAAAATAGATTACTGAATGAAATTATCGACATAAATCAAATGAACAGTAATATACAGTAACCATCACAGGTGAAAATCACGAGACAAATGTTTACACATCACAGACGATCCACTAAACCACCTTCAATAAGATTGCTTGCATGCTCTTCAGAAAGAAGTTCAGATCTAAATATATCATCTGAGTGTGATAGTTAATATTAATATACAAAGCTTTAAGATCAGATACTGTACAAAGGCAATTAGAGCATTTACAAAGCGTAACATTGTTTTACCTCTTTGAACACGGAGTTCCTCGGAATGGTGTCCTAATGAAGCGGTCAAAGAGAGAAGATGGCAGCGGTCAAATATAAAATTATATTACTTTTTACAAAAACTGTTAGGACTTATCCCTGTCATTTGCAAATAATTTCAAAATAATATACAATATATAGAAGAAAATTAAAAATATGATATAACATTGAATTGGTATATATTTCGTAAAGATAAATGATATTAAAAAGACGATCACACTAGTAAGAAAACAATTAACAAAATGTATGGTTATGATAAATGACAAAGACAATAAAACATGATTAATAACAACATTAACACTAGTAGCAGTAATATACTTATAATGGTAATGACTTGATTGATAAAAAATTAAAATACTACCATAAAAATATCTAAAATTATTTATATTAATGAGCTTATTAAAGTTGAGTAAATGTATGTTTTATCTTTTTAGTAGGTTAGTTAAATGTCCTGCCTGTCAGATGCTAGAAGAACTGATTAAAAGCATCAACACAGACTGAGTATTAAGTCCCAAATTATTTGTCTAATAATTAAAATCTATAAATTGTCAAAAAAGCACAAAAAATCCACAGCAAGTGATGTTCGGTGGCATTGCGATAGTGTGTTACGCAGTATACAAAAGTCAACGTCAGTATTAATTTTCATTTGATTAAGTCTTAATACCACATGTCAACATGGATCATGCACTCTTCAGTAAGTTGGCAACATAATAATATTGATTTAAAAGCTCCAACGAGGAAATAACTTAATATAATAATTTAACAATTTCAACAAATGTGAAATGGTGCTTCAATGAAGAAAATCCTTTACACTATATGGTCGTGATCATCATCATCTTCCGTTACTGTGCATAACCTCGGTTGAATATACTCACACAATGTGTTTTTACAGTACTCATATCGCGGCCAAAAAGAAAAGAAAACTAAATAAATAAATAAACATTAATAATAAATAAATAAATAAATAAATAAAAATGAAATATAAAAAAAAAATTTAAAAAAATAAAAAATAGATATAAATTAAATTTTTACTAGATACACATTTTAACGCACCGTAAAGGTGATTCAGTTCACAATGACATTGAAATCTATAGTAAGAGCAAAAACTAGACTCGAAAAGTACCTTAAACTACCATACAGGGCCATATCCAGCATTGACATTGGGGGGGAGGGAGAGGGGGAGGAGTACAGGAATGTGCAAAGGTGTCCAACTGGTGTTGGGGAGAGAGCCGGTTGGTCTATAGCTTAGATTTTTCATTACTACAGTATGGTAACTTTAATACCCAAATACTGGGCTACTGTACTATAAAACACTGGTTAAACTTTAAGTTAAATATTTAAGATAATCTCTTTAAACTCCATGATAGAAAATAACTAAGTTACAGCATATTCACTAAATTCGACTGACTTAATATGTGGACGTTTTCTGATTGGGAATGTGGGAGTAGACACGCACACATCGCACCCGCATTGGATACTTGCCAGAACTACAACACTACTATGCAAACAAGCGTCAAGTAGCAATCTCTATGCAGCTTACATAAATACCTCTCTCCTGAATACTCTAGAAACTTACAGCAAAATGATTAATATTATTTAAAAATTATTTAAATATAAATACATATGCAGCAATAATAATTTATTTCTATTATTAATCAAAGAATGCTAAGAAGAAATTATTAAAATATATTAATAAATAAACGTAAATTTACATATATGTTTATAAATTTATATGTTTATATATCAAAACATAAATTGTCAAAAATATTTCAAGACAGTATTTGGTGACATCCATATGGTTATGAAGATGTTTCCCAAGAGGCAGGGCTAACTGAGATATACTATAAGATCATCATCCTTAATGTCTGCTATCTATTGATCTACGCAATATTAACAGACTCACAGTTATCTCCCATATTGTTCATAAAACTATTTGTTATATTGGCTTGGTACTTTGACAAAATCATAGATCATGTGGATGACTAACAGGCATTGTCTACGTTACTCTCATCTCATTAAATTTCATCTAGCTTTCCCCCAGATTACATCATAACAAATTGCATTATAAGTTGTTTTTTTTTTTTTTTTTTTTACAATATATATTAATAAAATTAGAAAATTGAAAAACATTTAGGCTAAATAATGTTTAGTGTTTAATTGAATTCTGCAGGAAAATTTTCTGTTGAAAATAATTAATTTTTATAAGCAGACCAAGCAGACAAATTTTATTTAGCAGTAACACTTTAACATCATTGTATGTGGAAAGAGCGAGGCAACAGTATTTTGAGTTAGGATGAAATGCCAAGGGGCTTTAATTGTATAATTCCAGCCCTGAAACCTTGACTCAAAAATACCAAGATGGTGCCAGACAGAAGATAGTTTTTGCCATGTAGTTTAAGTCACTATTTATAAGTAAATTCAAGCCCTGAAACCTAGAGTTAGAAATACCGTGATGGTGTCCGATGGGGCAAAGTTTTACCCGTTATTATATTGTATTATATTGTAATTTTATTTATTAAATCTTTTACTTAGAGCCAATCCCTGCATTGCTGTTTCAATGTACTGTAAATGTTATGTTTACTACAAGTGGCAGTAAAAGAATACTGATTGCAAAAGGCTATAAAAATTCCAAAAACCATGGAGAAATACTGCGGTTAGTTAAACCATGACCAAAGCTTAACACAATATGTAGTACAGTACCTAAACACACATTACACATTGAGCTGTGATGTGGAAAGGGGTGGTGGTCCAAAAACTATTTTCATCAGGCATGATAGTACAACAAATTTCATTCTGAGAAAACTGAATAAGTATAGGACTATTGTAGAATACACGTTGTGAATATTCTACTAGTTCCATGCTTATTAAAGAAAAAACCCATGGTACTACTGTACTGAACAAACAACACACCTACACAACTATAGCTAGTGATAGAAACTCGTTCATCATAACCGCCCAGAAGGATGAACATTTTTTCCCTTAATTTTTTTGCACTATCTCAACCACACACTTGCAAATACCAGTGTTTGTATACAGGAAGGTGTTAATAACTGGTTAGTACAGGAAGACATTGATACAGTAGGCAGTATATTATTTCCATAGTTATTCTCTTCACTCTAATATTAATTGTTTGTATTTTTAACACTGTATTCAAATATTTTGGTATCTTTATTCAAATAATTTGTACACAAAACAGTATCTTACAGATATAAATCCGAATTACAAAACTGTAAATGTGATGAAGTAATTAACAACTATGTGATGAAGTAATTAACAACTATAATAATAATTACAATAGTAAATTTATATTATGCTCAAAAAGTCATTTTAGAACTTAAAGCTAGCACTCAACCATAGGGATCAAATAGTACAATTAATAGTTGCTTGACACTGATTATCAGGGGATAAGATCAATCAATATAAGGATAGCATCATGGTTAAACTTTGTCCACGCTATCAAATTTGTGACAAATATGTAATTTTTCAATGGGAATATGACATCATCAGGCGCATATATATGTTTTTAAATTACTTTTCCTTTAACTTTTGTATTTTATGAAACTGTACCACTTTGAAAAACAGTACACAAGTACTGAAAGTGCATGCAGTAGAAAGACAGAATAAATAAATAAATAAATAAATATATGGGATTTAATGTGACATCATCACTTCCATATATTATGGGCAATCAGATATATTTATCACATAAACCTAATTTTTGTGTGAGCAAAGCTTCACTCATATTTATTTGATGAAAATAATTCAAAAACAGAAAGCAAATGAAAATATGTCATGTTATTGCTGTGGAACAATTTACTCATCAACAAGGTGAATCAGCATTGTAGAGCGAGGTTAGACACTACTCAATAATGACACAACATTTTGTGTGTGAAACATAATGATATTTTCTACAAACTCAGATTTAGCAAACTAAGATCCAATCAAATAACCATTTCAAATAGCAAATAAATTTTATGTATATTTTAAAAAAATAGTTTTTTTCTCATTTATTTAGATCATTATACTTTATGTAACCAAACCAATGTCAGGTCCATAGCGTGAATTAATTTGTAGGAGGTTTATTTCAGTGGTAAGTGGACACTTTGGAAACCATTATACAATAACGAAACAACAAGAAAGGGAAATGCCGACTTGAAATACTTCTGGCTTGTATGATCTCGGATACTCAGGATAACATTGTACTGTAAATATATCTATGAATATCAATTTTTCATTTTTAAATGCAGACCTTCTCCAGTTTTTGGGTGGTTCGTCGTAACCCCCCTTCCCCATGCTACAAGCCTAAATGTGACATTGATATCAACATCACATACAGAAGTAGCATCCATAAATGGCTCATAATGATTTGACCGTGATGAAAATATGATTAAAAGGATCAAAACATCACAAAATTTGGTTGCCTACAAGTACTAAGTACTCTGTACTGTTGACTGTTGGACTACCGGTATATGGTTTTAAAATTAAAAGTAAGGAAATTACAAACAGTGAAAGTATAATATAAATGTACTTTGTCAGTCTTTTCGAATACTGTGCTGCTATGCACTTTACATATAAATAACATTTATTAGATTCAATCCACATGGAATATATATTCAGTTCCCTGGGGGAATTTTCCATAATTCTGCACCTAGCAAATTAGTACATTACCATATTCTATATCTATGGGTACCCTCAGGTGGAAAGTGGTAAAAAAAATATGCCCTTCCTAATAACATAAACAAATGACTGCCAATGCCACCCCACAGATTTATTGATTTTTTTTATTCAACTTTTCCACTCGTAAAAGACTATAACAAAAATATGCCTTTTAGTGCAACTACAAATGGTGTAATTAAATTGATAAAAACAATATTTCCTACAATATTATATTCAGAGAATAATAATAATAATAACAATAATAATAATAATAATAATAATAATAATTATTATTATTATAAATAATAAAAATAATAGCAATAATAATAATAATAATAATAATAATAATAATAATAATA